AGTCTTATGTAAGAAGATCTTAATGCATCCCCTGTCTAATACTGCAAACAGCAAACACCATGGAGGAGAAAGGCAAAAACTTTGCTCCCAAGGATGGTTTGTGCTTGTTTCCTATCTAAAATATCAGACTTTCCTCCTCAAGGTCATTGTTAGAGATTTTTTTCCCTCTGCAGTGAAACTTCAGTTTAGGAGCTGACTGGATTATGTGCATTAGTTTATCACCATCACAGAAACACATTCATAAATCTTACTGCAATGTCATTAGAATAAGATGTTCTGATTGTGTGTTATTAAAGCAGATGCTTCCATCTGCATTGTACTGTGGAATAAAAATATGATTCACTATATTTAAGAGACAGTTGAACATTTTCCCCAGTTCAACTAAGATTTCTGAAATAAACTTTGGGTTGAAAATAGGACAAACTGGAAACAAAATTATTTTTTGTATGAGCAGTAGAGACAGAAATAAGAAGGCATCCCCAGCTAAGTCACCTCTGAATGGGGAGACCAACCAAACCTGTTTCCAGAAGAAGATAAAGTAAAACAGCAGTTCCCATACTGTAAGTGCTGGAAAACCAGATTAGAATGCAACAGCTTAGATTTATCTTTAGTAATTACTTTAACTGGCACACAATCTGTTGATCTTAAAGAGTATGAAGACCTAACCAACAAGTGAATCATTCTCTATGAATATTCATACATGTTATGTTGCTCTAATGAAAATAAGACGCACAGTCAGCAGAGGCAGGCTTTGGACCTTTGTCTTCCATCAGTGTGAACTGACTTTGATCATTCAGTCTTATTTCACCCCTCTACTCTAATTCAAGATTTTGCTGAAGGACAATCAGGCCTGATCTGTTTTCTCAGAATTCATATCTGCTTCAGGAAACCATCATCAACTTAGTACCATGTCCTTGGATGATATGCAAAAGACTTCCCATACAATCACCAGTTCACACACTGCCACTGCAATTTTTGGAAGTCAGATCCATCTTTTAGCATTCAAGGAATGCTGCCTGCCACATAATATCTGGTCACCATCAGGTTTCTTATCTTTCCCCCCCTCTATAAAGTGCTCTGGTTTTCCCTGTATTCCATTCTCAACTTTTCAGTTACTTCAGGTTTTACCTGGAAAACTCAGCTAAGCACTTTTTTATGCGGACATAAAATAAATATAAGAATGTATTTTATGTATCCCATACACAAAGTTGAGAAAACCCCTAATGGTTACCCATTTGTTTAGTGGTAATCTGACAGAGAAATAATATCCTGTCTTGTGCATGCGAAGACAAATTTTCCTTTTTGATCAGCATGCATATTCATAAAAATCTTGCTTTAAAGGTTATCAAATTAGAATTTAAAATCTAGGTCGTATTTACAGTCCTTTAAAATGACTACATACATGGTAGCTGCACAGTATAAACACAAACTGACCTAAACTGGCAACAATGCCATCGGGGTTTACTTTTTATGGTTATTTCAGAATGAAATTATCTTTGTAATTTAACTTCTTTATTCTCTAAATCAATGAATTGCCAAATAAGAGCTACTGGGAAATGGTTTTATAGCAAATAAACACATGAAGATGCAGGGAAACAAAAGAGGTAACTGTAATGTTAAAGGTCACAGAGACTTGAAATAAAAACATCATGCTAAAACTTAGAGGCAGAGGTATTTAGCTAAAAAAATATAAAAAGCACCTTTATTTTGTTGCCTAATGTGCATCTATTTAAAAGAGAGCTATGTAAAAACTGTAAAGGTGTGACAGGAAGAAATTCAAACTGTCACAGTTTATCAAAGACATGTTATCACCTCAGAGCTGGTGCTTAGACACAGATAAAGAAGAGATTGTCAAGGGTGGGAGTCTCAGTTTCTTCAGCTCTAAAAAGTAGCAGGTGAGTTGATGGCACTGAATAGACAAAAGCAAACTGGGGGAAATTTACAGAACTTGAAATAATTCACGGCTCAATCTTTCTTAGTTTTCTAGGGGTCAAGTTACTGAAGCAAAGTTATTTCATAGCCATCTACTGAGGTCTGGTAAGTGATCAAGTCTGCCTCCAGGGGCAGCCATTACTGCTAAACTTTATTCACTAACTTAGGAGAATTTCAAGATAATACCTTAAGAAGTTGAAAGGATCTCTGACGATGAGGTGGCAAATAAGACGATAAACATCTCCAAAGATTGAATAATGCCACTTTACTGACAGAAAAGTGACTTCTGACAGTTATAATCTACTGCCCTAAAAGACATAATCTATTGTATTACTATTTCTACACTATTGGGTATTTCTGGAAGACACGGAAAAGTCTTTCTTTTTACAGCTTGTTCAATAATGACATGTTTGCATCTGAGTGCATACTGTGATCATTATCATAAAACGCATTTCCTTATCCATCTTTCTCTGCTTTGATAAACACTAAATCATCATATTATAGACTTCTAATGCAAGGAGAAGGTTTCATCCTATTCCTGTATCTTTGGGGGGGGAAGGGGAGCAGGAGGAAGGTGGATTTTTTGCTAATAAGCAAAGCCCCACTGAGGCGCTGTTTTATCTACATGAGGTAATTTTTTGCTAATCTTACCAGGTCAAGGTTGTTTAAGCTCAAACAAATCCCTAGCTGTGGGGAAAATGAGCTAAGTTTCTGGTTTGCCTCTGAGTAGTCTAATAAGAGTGAAAGTAGTGTGTAAGTGCTTTATAAGATTTTGTGGGAGTTCCTTTATTTGTTTTGAAGAGAGAGACCAGAAGGAGGCAAACAGGAAAACAAGTTAGGTAAATGAGGGCTAGAAGCAGGGCTGCACATGGAAAAACAAAGAGGTGGCTCAATAACTTTTGTTCCGTTTCATTTTCCTGTCTTTTGCAATCAAAAGACATTCTCCCCCTGCTCTTCCTGCCTGTTTGCTGACCCTTTCAAAGTGTTTAGGGGAGGTGATTCTTAAGGTCTCCACTTACTCTTTTCCATCTGTTCTCTTCCCATCCTCCATTCAAACACACTCTTTCACATGAAGTCACATTACGCTGCCTCAGAGCCTGAACAGTCAGACCAGAGTAACCGAGAGAGTCAGTGTAACAGGCATGACAGAAAACTGGGAGAACTGATTCAAGAGCTCAGAAAGCACTGCTCTAGTCTATGCCCACACCTTTGTTTACATACACACCCACCCTGATCACCTGTCCACACTACCGGTCCCAGGTGAAGAAAGACGAAGTGAGATAAGATACAGTAGGAGCCAGGGGAGGATAGTGATTATTATCTCATTTCTCCCCTATTTCCTTCCTGTCCTCCCTGCTTATAGCAGAGTCCTCATATGGATAGGGTTGCTGGAATGAAATCAAGATGGTAGCAGCAGTGCCCTCTACCACCATTCCTCTAATTCCTCTGCTTTCTGGGACAGGAGATGAAAGCAGCAAGGGAACATCGAATCAGGGAATAATGTTCCCAACCCAACTCCTACCACACTTCAGTCACACAGATTAACCAGTTTCTGCCCCCTCCCTTTAACTGGGGCTTTCCATAGGGCAGAGTCCCAGATGTATGATAGATAAACTGCTACATGTTTTGCCAAGACATTTGATTACTACCTGTCTTAGGTAAATAAAGCATTTAAGTTTTCTAAAGTGATGCTAAGATTAGTTCAAAACAGTTACAGGTGTGTCCTATGTCTCTACAGCATATACATCAGCAATCAGTGGTAAGACTAGTTTTGAACTATCCCTCAGCTCAAGTCTTGTTACTGGGGATTTGAAATTATTTTATATATTACAAATTACATTTTTTTAACATATTACTTTTTCCTCACATTCTGGTACCAAGCTATACTTGTCCTAAAGATGAAGCTAAGGTTCTTTTGAGTTCTACCTCTGCTCTAATTTACACTGGGTTTCCTTCAGGTTCAAGAGGCCCTTATAATTGCTCCCAGCTGGAACTATGAGCAAGTGGACAGAAAATCCATATAATTTAAAAACAACACATATTTACTTAGGTTTGTCCCAATTTATCCTTTTGCTCTCCTAGTATACTGAGTTCTACTACCAGTATTTCTCCATCAGGAAGACGGAAGGAAGCATAAAGATTCACTGGTTTTAGACAAGTCCATATAGCAGACCCAGATAAAAATGAGGAACACAAGCCAAGTAAATCAATAAACTTGGAAAGCTGAAATTCTGCTTTCTTTACTCTCCCATCTACTCTTTCCACATTTCCATACAAGTTTCAGAATTAAGTCTTTCATGCACTTGGTCACATATTCCTTTTAAAAAATCCCAGAACAAGAAGAAACAACAGAAAAGTGCTCCTCAGTGTCTCCCCTCCTGCCAAAACCTTAAAATTAAAAATCTGAAATTGCAAAGGACCGTGATGATGGTGGAAATACAATAGTTGTACATGCAAATCTTCAAAAGCACACTGCACTGCACCTATGTACAGTGCAGTTACTGACATACCACATTGTTACTTAGCATCTTATTCTGCCCCATGCAAAACTGAACAAATGATACACAAAGGGGTGTAATTCCTTATCCTTCTTGCAAATGTTAAGGGAGAGGTATTTTTATCATAGTAGCACGATAACATGAGTGCTGGCCGATGGAACGGGAGATCCCTTGACATCTCCTCACACTCCTACCTCCCATATCTCTGCACTGCTAAAACCACTTACATCTTCCAGCTGTAATAATAATAATATTAGTTAGTTAGTAGTTAGTCTTCCAGCTGTTCTTTTCTGAACATCCTGTGAACGGTCTTATTTCCCCACTGCGACGACCCGGACGACCCACAGACCTTTTTTTTTTTTTTTTTTTTTTTTTTGTGTCAATTGTCAAGTACAGACTGGGAGCGACGGGGGCGGAGAACACCTCGCTTCCACTTTAGAGAACTTGGCTGCAGTTGGATGTCATTACCGACAGCATCGAACCGACTGTTCATGCCAACAGAGCGGTGCATTTACTGAACCGCCAGCCGAACTCAAGTTTCGGAGCTGCTAGAATAGATATGTAACTTACAGGAGCTGCGTCTGTTTGAAAACCCCTCCCGTGGTGGGGAGCGCTGAACTCCAACCGCAGGGGAGAGGAGGGAGAAACAAGAGGTCCAATCCCCCCCGTTTACACACCGAGCGTCCCGCTGACCTGCTCCTGCTTCTGCTCCTGCCCGACGGTGCCTCCTCCGCCTCCGCAGCGCCGCGCCGGGACTGCCGGGAGCCGGGACAGCTGGGATAGCTGGGACAGCCGGGATTGCCTGGGACCGTTCTCCACCGCCTCCTCGAGCCGAGGGACGCCCGGGGAGCACTCGAACCTTGCGGCCTCCCCAAACCCTCCCTCTCTGCCCGTCCGGATCCCGACCCGGCTCCACTCGGGGCTGCCCCCACGTGACAGCGCCCGGCGCCCCCGCCCCCCGCGCAGGCAGGTGCTCCAAGGAATTTCTATGCGAACCCAGGGGTTTGGGCAATTTGCTTTAAGTTTCTGAGTTTTATTCTTCGTATCATTCTTGCTGGAAGTAGAACTATTGACTAAAACTGTGTGCAGTTTATTAACTAAAGCAAGCTACCCGGCACGTTTTTTGGTGCGTATTCCTGCATACCAAGGATTTTCTAGGTTAACAAAAACATTATATTATTAACAGAGAAAAACAATACACTCTTTCCCAGAGATTTAAAAATCAAGTATTTCTATACTTAAAGCACTTCTTATCTACTTTAATTCTACTAGTAAAACAATAGCATAGGTACTTTATATTAGTAAAAGTGTTTTATATCATATACCTGTTGACTCCTGTTTAAAAAACATTCTCTGGTGTTCTGTTTATGACTGCAAAAATCTCTAGTACAGGAAGTCTCCAAGGAAGCAACATTAAACAAAAACTCACGCTCAAAAAGTATAGGTTTTTCTTCTGCCTCTAGAGATTCCTGGATTACTTCTAGAAATTTGGGAAGTGCTGCAAGTTTAGGTCATTGGGAGTTTGCTGGTCACTGAGTGCCTTAGTGATTCCATATCTGACAAGGCTTTGTGATGACCAAACTGGTCATCCCACCCGTGCAACACTGACACAGCTCTTTCACAGCGAGTGTGCGCCAAGTACTTCTGATGATGTCGGTTTTCCAGTGAGTTGACTAACCAAAATTAACCATTTAGCAGAAAGTGAGATAAAGAGTTGGGAGTCACATATACAATGTAATTAGCACACACTTTTCACTGTGTGTGGTTGTATTTCAACAACCACAGTTTGCTGTCTTCCTTCTGTGATGCTTTCACCTAAATAATCTAAGCATGTTTAGTATGCACAATGTTTTAATGTAATTTCATTACTTATAACAATCCACCTGAATTTTAGGATCTGTTTTTGCCTAATATAAGGTTCCAGTGTATTTGGGATGTTGACACATCTTGTTCCTTGTTACCAACTGATGCACTCTCTGACCTTGGGAAGAATTATTTATTATTTCAGTTTTGTTTTAAACTTGCGCATAACACCAAGACTATGAATCGCACACCAGATATTCCAGATAAAGAATTGGACCTCACGCACAGAGAAAACTTGCCCAAGGTGTGAGAGGGAGAGAATGGGAAGTGAAGTAGAATGCCTTTGAAACATCTCTGAACATGCTGAAGAATAATTATAAACTGGCAAGAATCCACAGGCTGTGTATTAATTCAGCTTTTGAATTTTTCTTGTCTTTCCTCGCAGCTTTGAGTTAGTCATCTTATGTGGGTCTCATAGAGGAATGGTGAAAATTAGAGTGGTTGATAACATTTGCATCTTTTGTAGTACTGATACCAAAAATTATTATATAGCACTGCTTGTTGCAGTATCCTTAAACCATTTAGGTTTAGTCAGTGGAATTTAGAAAAATCTAGGCAAAGCTGGGCATCTTTTCAACACCAACCTGGTTTCCCTTCCCTTTCCCCAGCTCACTGGAGGTCTAGGACAGGTGTTTGGGAAACTTTCCACATGATAGAAGCAGCCATGTAGGGTTGTCACCTCCTTTCTTGTTTGTTCCTGAACTGGAATAGCCAAAACCCTGTTGGTACATGCTGTACCCCATGGTTGTGTTGGCAAAAGCAGTGTCAGCCAGTACATGGGAGGGCGAGCATGGCCTTGCCCTGGTGCTATGAAGGAGAAGGGCCTGGAACGGAGAGGCTCTGCAATTACTGCCACTCCCTTGGGAAGCACAGGCAGAAGCAGAAGGAGGCTGAACAGCACAAGCCAAGCACAGAACACAAAACACTGTCCTGCTTCTGCTGCAATGTTCATGTGCCATCATTTTACAGTTCTGTTTCTGTATTTTTTGACATTATATTATTGCATCACAGGAAAGCAGAGAGAATCCTAATTTTGGCCTCCCTTGAGCTTTTTGATCCTGTCTGTGCTGTTTAATATCATTATAAAAAGTTAATTAATTCTGCATCTCTCTGTCTTAGTGTAGCAGGTTTCAGAAGCACTCCCTCAGCTGTCCTGCCCTCTTGGCTAATTACCATTCCAGAAGTCCTCCCTTCAATAAGAGTGGTTTGTTTCTTTGCTGCAGTGGTGCAGACTCATGACTGTCACAAAGCTGGCATTGTGTTAAGTCTTTGCCTCTCTTGTATAACAATGAAGTTTATTCAGTGAGAGTAGAATCATCCTTCTCAGAAAAAACCTAAGAAAAAAAAAGAAGTTAGGAACCCCAAAAGATAACATTGCTGGACATGGCTTTACTGACTATCTTCATTTCTTTCATCTCAAAAAACAGTGCAGAGCTGTCTGTAAGATCCCATATGTTGCTCTGTAGCTGTTTACCTTAACTAGATATAAAGGCCAGGGTTTATTTTTACATTGTTAAAACTTATTGAGCAGAACTGAGTATCTCTTCCTCAGTGTCACCTTATGGTCACTCTGACAATGCTGGGAGACCCTGTGTTTCAGTTCAGGCCATATTCCTGATCCTGTAAGTGTGCCTGATTGGTGCTTAGGCTTATGCATTTGGTGGTTCTTTCCTAGTGCTATTTAGTCCATTAATGGATTATGCAGAAAAGTGGCAAAATGGCTTATAGTCCCTGAAGGGTAAGGGCCAAAACAGACATTTAGATGAGGACTCTAAGTTTTGATACATCAGTTTGCAGTACGTTCCAAATTGCTGGTTTATTTGCTGAAAGGTTTTATAAAGCTTTAATTTTCCTGTTTATAAAGCAGAGTAAATAGCTGCAACTAATGTAATCTAAATTCAGTCCCTGATATTTTATTATCAATTCATTCAAAAATTCTCATAAGAGATACCTAAGACCTCATGTCCTTCTTTATCAAAAGCTTTGTTTCAAGACTACAACAAAGGTTGGTCAGAGTATGGTTTCATTGCTTTTCTCAAACCACAGTCCTCATAGTCTGTGCAGGCTTTGAAACACCAGTGTTAAAACAATGAATAAATACTGTGATGCAGGAATGTGAAAGCTGCAATACTGTGTGATCCCTTGTTTGTGGAAAAAAAAGCAATCCACTTAAATGTTCAGAGATTGCCTTTCATGTAAATGTGGTTAAATCAGCTGTAGATAGGAAATAATGTACTGAAGAATCCTTCCCCATTAACTCAGTACAGCTAATCTATTATATCTCACTAGAAAGTGTAGCCTGCCTTATCTTTAACAGAGATTTGTGGCCAGTCATGTTACCTCTGTTAACCTCTGGTAAAGTGCACAACCTTCTCTCACTCTTCAAAACTTTTTTCTAGCATATGCGGTAAGCTCTTTTTTAAGTGGTTTTTTTTTGTTGGTTTTTTTTTTCTTCCCCCCCATCATTATTTGGTAGAGTTAATTTGAAATATTCAAAATGAGAGGTTAAATAAATAAATTTGGTCTCTACATAAAAGTGCAATTGAAATTTTCTTGAAATCTTGTTGGATAGCTACAGCTACTTGATACGAAAACAGAACTTACTACTTTTTTTTTCTTTTTCATCATTTAGAGCATTATCTGTTCTGCAGCAGAACACATGATATAAAAGTCTTCTTTTCAGGTATTTCTTACTAGGACAGATGAAATACACTTAAAAAAAAATTTCCTTAATATATAGATAGTTTTGTTAGAGCTAACTATATTTGTTGAGTAATTTTGAGTTTTTTCCTCCATCTCCTCTTTGTGTCCCAGAAGCTTTCATGAGTGCATACAGTTCTTAAAATAGGCTTTCAGGAACGCATTGTTACTTTTGTTCAGCATTTTTAAAGACATTTAAGCAAGCGGTTGATCTGGCCGCTTGCATGTAACTGATGGGAATTACACCTGAGCCATGTGTAACGAGCCAAATTTAGGCAGCGGTGCTACGAGGACTTAGCGCCATCTCGCGTTCAGATCGTAAATAACACACGAGTGATCCCAAGAGTTTTTTGAATGAGCGTTTTTGGTCCCCAGGGAAACACTACGTCCATATGTTAAATGGGGGTAGCAAGCCTACCACAGTAAATTAAAAGCTTATGGAAGACAGCTGATATCTTCTCAGACGGACACAGCTGTTTATAACATTTGCATTTGCTCCCACTGTCAGGCAAAGGCCTTCTAATTGTAGCTTGGAAAATAGAGCTTATACTGTACATCACGGCATGAATGTATGTAGAGAATGCAGTCTCATATAAGCTGCTATTCCACCTAGTTTGGTGAGGCAATGTGGAGTCGTGGGACTTGTTTCAGTCAGACTGAACTCACAACATTAGGGGATTTGACATTTGTCTAAATTTGTTGCATTAAAAAGTTATGGGGAAAAAAAACATGCTAGAAAGTATTGTGAATTATATAAGATGTTATTAAACAGTTTCTTGACTGAGAAGATATTCATTGTTCTATTATCTCTTCATGAACTCTTCCAGCCAGCATTTGGGTTTGATTCAAATAAGACTTTTCTTTTTTTGATAAGATAGCTCTTAGTTAAAAAAAAAACAACAAAACATATGAAATCTTGTACCTTCAAACATAGGAAAATATGTAACAGCAGAAAAATTCCAAGTTCATCTTACCTGCAAGCTTTGAGGCAGGAGACAGGGGTCTCTGTCCACTCTTTTTCCCAGAGAGTGTTCTTGGTTACTTCTGTCTGTGATTGTGATGGTTGCTATTATGCAGATCTTTTTCTCACAGTCATACATACAGACACAGTAAGTCATGCCTTCACTTCTGTTCTAGAGGCAGACCTTGGGCAGCTCTGG